TGATTAATACATGTCTTATATTCTGTTTCTTCTCCGTACTAAAGTTTACTGAAGACAACCAGAACACTGTAGTGAGGAGTGTGTCAACCAACACTGAAGTGTTATCAGTACTTCACCTTCAGGTGAAACAAAGGCTGTTTGGACTATTACATCTTCATCGATAAACTGGTTTTTAAGAAATCTAGCAGCTAACAGAGACAGTAAAAAAAGTTTGTTTTGCAATATTTTTGACCAGCTGCGACTAATAGATTACAATTTCTTGAACTTAATTAAAGTCCAGGACACATGAAATTTTGTGAAGCATTATCTACCCCCCAAAAAACTCTGATTTAAACACACAAATGATCTTACAAGGCATCAGCTTCTCCTCTTTTCCAAAGTTGCACAGTCTTTTGAAATTTGATGAACTAGAGCTCAACAAGTTAACAATTTTATTTAATCTTGCATTATATTCAGCAAAAAAGAAGGAAAACCTCTTTCAGAACTGTAGCTAATAAATATTAACATGAACTTAATGCAAAACAAGCACTCAATTTTATCTGTCATGTTACTTGTGGTTTTGTCAGAAACATTAATTTTTCAACATTTTCTGTGATGCCAGCACAGACGATAACCAAAATTGTTCATAAAGGTGACATTACCCAAGTGAGTATTAAATCAGACTCTCATGGACACTGGTCATTTGAGTGAGTGCAATAGAATACAAGTAATTGGAATAAAAAGTGTTTTTTATGGTGCTTAAATGATGGTAGCGAACACAACAGGCATAACCTAAACCTTGAAATATCCTGAACTGTAATCCCATGCACTACACACTGCCTAGGACTTGTCATTATAGACCCACTTAGAAAAGTTCCTAAACCTTGAAATATCCTGAACTGTAATCCCATGCACTACACACTGCCTAGGACTTGTCATTATAGACCCACTTAGAAAAGTTCCCAAATTATTTCCTTTTGATAACACTAACACCTTAAATCATTAATCAGGAAACAAACTAGTTTCCTTTTGATGACACTAACACCTTAAATCATTAATCAAGAAATGAACTATTTCCTTTGATAACACCTTAAATCATTAAACAAGAAATGAACTATTTCCTTTTGATAACACCTTAAATCATTAATCACTTATATAGTCTGGAAATAAAATTGTGTAATTAAGAATAACGCCATAAATCATTAATCAAGAAATGAACTATTTCCTTTTGATAACACTAACACCTTAAATCAAGAAATCAACTTTTTCCTTTTGATGACACTAAAACCTTAAATCATTAATCAAGAAATGAACTATTTCCTTTTGATGACAGTAACACCTTAAATCATTAATCAGAAACAAACTATTTCCTTTTGATAACACTAACACCTTAAATCATTAATCAAGAAATGAACTATTTCCTTTTGATAACACTAACACCTTAAATCATTAATCAGGAAATGAAAGAGAAATTGCTAAGTTAGTTTTCTTCATATTGTCTTTTATTTAATCCAAGCTCAACATAACAACTACTTTTTAATGTTACTATTATTTAAGATACATAATATGTCTGTGAAAACACATTCCTAAAAGCTTTCAGCTGAACGTCTGATGTTTTAACATGGAAGGTTATATTCTAAAAACAAAAAATAAGAAATTGGGTAGTATCACAATCAATACAAGTTCATTAATTCATATTTGTTAATCAGTTCATTAATTATGTAAATGTACTACCTTCTATTTTCCTCCTAAACTTTCAAAGATTTATATAAATGTTAGTAAAAAATATTTTCCGGAGAAATTTACACCGAGTGTGGGTAGATAAGAGCGGATAAGATATTTGCCAATTGTTTAACATGGAGGCAATTTCAAATTCAATGAGTGAGGTTGAAAAAGAAATCGTCTGTAAGTTAAAATATTTAAATTGTCCTTTATTAGGAAATTTAGAGAACTGGTGGATCCAAGAGTTAATCTTTTCTCCAGGTGAGCACAGAAATAAGTTATTATGTTGGGTGTTTTCAAGGATCGATTTTCAACTCGAAAGACTAATTACGTCATTCAGCAGTGATAATAACCTGCTTAACAGTAACATGATTAACGATGCCGTTTCGACCGCTAACACTTACAAATCTTATAATTATAATGGCCCTTCTCAACTTCCAGAAACACTTGCAAGTATCGCTCGTGTCTTTGGTCTTGGATATTCTTCCAAAGAATGTAACAATTTTGTAAACGGGACTGCATCTGTAAGAGAACAGTGTATTTGGTGGAAATCTCTATTAAATGTTTTATGTTATAACGTAAAAGCGTTTACCAGCTTATCCAAAGGTAATGCTGACGGACCTAACGTCAGTAGTTCTGTTGATATAACATTAAGTGGTGAGGAACACAACCAATATCCTTGTATTGAAAGTGGCTTCAATCGGACATGTACTGCTCTTGATGATATAGTTTCTGAACCAGGTTTGCAATCCATTTTAAGTGAAGACATTCAACTTTTACCTCCAGATATAAAGTGTGAGCAGGAAAGATTGTTTAAAGTCTGTGAACAACAAGAAGAAAAATCATATGGGAAAATTCCAAAATATCCAAGCATATCTGAACTTCAGGAAAGTTTATTCCAACTTCAACAGAAATTAGATGAGAAGAAAAACGTACTGAATATATTGAAAGAAGAAATGGGGGAGCTTGAATTTAGCTATCCTGATGGTAATGTCTCGGCCACAGATAAGCGTTTGAAATTATTTCTTTCAGATCTCCATCAACTGTGTACCATGTTTACTTGCTTGTATGAAGAACTGAAGCCGTGGCTAGACAGGTCACAACCAGCACTTTCGACCGTGGGTGAAAAATTTGAGACATTACAGAAACAGACAGAGAATTTCTGTAATGTAGTTCAGAATTTGTCTGAAACAAGAAGTGTATTTACTCAACTGAAAGAGCTTTATGAATTCAGCAGTAAATTAAGCCAGCCATATATTCTTCCATCCTATTTAGAAGGGTGTGCTGAAGAATGTACAAATATTTTAGAAACAGCAGCAAATGAGCTGAATGTTAAAGATTAGTTTATAGGGCAAGTTTCAAGTTTTGATAGTTCCTTGGTTGAGGAATGTTAAAATCAGGCTTTTGAA